CTACCCGCTGCCCCCTGTCGGCACTGTCCCTGCAGCTTTCATTGGCTGCAGGTCCCAGCCAGAGAGCTGAAAAGTCATCATTAGGGCAGGGGTAGCACATGGAGACCACTCCCCCGGGGCCACAGGAACGGCATGGAGCAAGGGCCAGCAGGCAACCTGTCTTAGCCCTGCTGAGCTTCTGGCCGTGGTGGCTTGGAGGGAGGCCTCAGGCCCTTTTAAGTTGCTTTGCTGCCTCCTGTTGCTGTGCCTGATGCCATTCAACCAAACGAAATAGAGAATATAAAACACCATCCACTTAAAATCATTCTTGTGTCTAAAATAACTTCCCTTTACTGTGATAAGTAAGACCCGCTGCTTGAATACCTGAAAGAGATTAGAGGAAAGGTTTTTGTTTAACTGTGTTTTGTGCGTTTGACAGTGCTTTGTGGACTGTCTCGTTCCCCTTCTCTGTAAAGATGGGTTGGTTTCCTTCTCTTGTTACCACGGATCCTTTCACATGGCAACGGGGGCCAAGAGAAACACATACAGGAAAATGTGTCTGCAAAGCCAAACGAAAAATACAGCCCCACCTGTGCATGTCTCTCTGACTGTGGTCCCCAGACTGCTTCCTACCCGTAATGTTATCTGTCTGTCCCCTTCCCCATATCCATGGCTGGGAAGGGGAGTCGTGGTTAGGGCTGGAGCCTCCACCATGCTGGGAGCCAGGGGCCGGGGCTGGGAGTGCAGCTGCGGTTGGGGCTGGGGCTGGGAGCAGAGCCGGAAGTGGAGCTGGGGCCAGGATGGAGCTGTGTCCTGGAGCAGAGATGAAAACACAGTAGGGCTCGGGGGTGCTTCCTTTCCACTCCGGTGGGGCCTGGCCTGACCCTGCCACACTCCCCTGAACATTCCTCCGTGATCCCCTAGTTTGGGGACCACTGCTCTAAGAAATCATCCAGTGGAGATGGGTTCGTCCTTTACATTTAAGCTGATAATCCAAGGAAGGTTTCCGGAGAACTAGCCGTGCATGCTAGGGATGTTCACTTTCGACTAACCAGCTAGTCGATGGATTTTCTGTCGACTACTTGCTTAGTTGATAAGGGCGTGGGAGTGGGACACTCACTATCCTGGTGGCACCTCTGCCTTTTAACTGTAGCATGAGCTCCACGGGGCTCTTGCGACATTTAAAAGGCAGAGGCGCAGCGGGGGGGGTTCCTGTGTGAGTGGGGACTGCTTGAGGCCCCACTCGCACCGTTTCTCCCTCTGCGCCCTTGTCCCCCTGCAGAGACTGTGCTGGGGGAAGCCAGCTTTTAAGATGGGTTCCTTTGCCCCACCCCCTGCCCTTTCCCTGAGGCCATGCCCCATCCCTTCCCTGATGCCTTGGTCACTCCATTCCCCTCCCTTTTAAGCCGGCTCCCCCCACACCAGCTCCTGCTCTGCCTCCCGCCTTGCTTCCTCTGATACCGAGCGGGGGAAGCGACTAGTCGAGTAGTGACTCAACTACCCGATAAGCCTCGGCTTATCCCTAGTGCATACATTTGTCTTCTAGAACGTGCAGAGTCTTGCCGTGTAATGTATCTTACTTTTGCAAAATTCTGTCGCTTTGATATTGCTTAGTCAGTGAAGTGTCTGTTGTTTATGCTTTACATCCATTTCAGTTGCAGCTGATAAAAGGCCTCTGAACTAGTATCCCTGGCTGAAAATATGAGTCTTGCACTATAGCCAGAAGGCCAACCAGCTATCTATTAGCATAGAGCCTGAGGGAGAAACGTTCCATAGATAGGAAACCTCTGTCTTGAGTCTCCAGTTCTCCTTCTTAGTTAATTACCAGAAGCTCCTATGCTATCAGTTTACCAAACTATTTTACATCCATTTACCAAAATACCAATTAATCCATGCTAGTGTTCACAAGTTTATCAGTTATAACAGTTAAGGAAATTGTACATTATAAATTGGAAGCAGAAGTTAGCGTTTTACCACCTACCATACTGTATAAGCCCTGGGGGCCACAGTGATACTCTCAGCACATGCCAAGGGCCGCAACGTAAGTGTGGTTGCATGTACATGCAAATATATGTATATAGCTTCTTTCACACTGACAGGCATGAACACAAAGATTAAGGCGAGACTGCACAACACGCAGGCCCCATTTTTGTCAATTCTGCTGATATTAATATAATGCAATAATTACCTGATTTCCACCCATAGGACAGCACTTTTAATGACCAATGACTGTCCAGGAATTTAACTACTAAAACACGTATCGACAGAAGACCATTATATTGACTATTTTTTTTGTTTTGGCTCCCACCTTGGGCTGCAAACAAATGGGCTGCATGAGGCCCACATGTCGAGTAGCCCTGCTATGGGTAAATCTGTGATGGCAACTTAATCGTTAATGCACAGACTTGGAGACTACAGATCCTAAGTATGTTGCGTGAGTCCAAGGAGCATACCTCTCCCCAGCTAGTAAAATACATGTTAAATGTTACCTTGTGGTGTTGGTTGGTTTCTGAGACTTAAAGTCTTATTCTTAAGCACTGAAACTTGGTAGCAGCTTTTCGGGTGTAAAGCAGCAGCTGTGGCAAAGCACAAATAGCATGGGGGGCATTCCACTAACTTCTCGTTTCTGTATCCTTTGCAGATGGGAGAAGGCTGGCCAGGTGAGCAGGGAGCTCTGGGAAAAAGCTGGACAACAGGGACTGCTGGGTGTCAACATATCAGAAAAGCATGGTGGAATTGGAGGGGATCTACTCTCTTCAGCAGTGGTCTGGGAGGAGCAGTAAGTACAAGACCACTGTGATAAAAACTGGATTGGTATTATTAAAAAACGTGTTTGTACGATTTCCTGATTGCTATCGCAAAGAGAGCATGTTCACAGTCAGTCATAGTTTTTTTTATTCACGGTAATGATTATTTAGATTGCATAGGTGCCCCTTACTTTAGATATTTAGGATGCTTGTTTAAATAGTATTATATTTTTAGGACTGCTGAAAGGGAAGGGAAAATGTTCTCTTCAGACTCATGAGTGATCCGCTAGTTTGGCAGTGAAGATACACGCTATAAATAAATAAGAACGTGGATGTCACAAGTTAAAATTGTGTTAGTGGGTTTTGACTGCTTTTATTGTATGTTTATTTCAGTTTGATTCTCTGCTTTTTAAATGTATAAAAATGAACATATAAATCACTGAAACAAAAAACAGGACCCAAGAAAACCAACAATAGAACACCACTTGTCATCACCTACAGCCCCCAACACATTATCAATAAACTACAGCCTATGCTGTTACAGGATACTAAACTCCGAGAGGCTCTGGAAGACAGACCCATAGTCTCCTATAGACAATATAGACAACCACCTAGCCTCTTAACCAACAACCACAGGACATACCACACTAATACCAACCCTGGTACCTTCCCTTGCAACAAACCCCGTTGCCAGCTTTGTCCACATATTTACTCTGCTGACACCATTATTGGACCCAACCAAGTGAGTTATAAGATCAAGAACACATATTCCTGCGCATTCAGAAATATACTTTATGCAATCATGTGCCGAAAGTGTCCGTCTGCTATGTACATTGGACAAACAGCTCAGACACTTCGCCAAAGGATCAGTGCCCACAAAACAGATATCAGACAGGATCACAAAGAAAAAACAGTTTCTTGCCATTTCAACCAGAAAGGACATTGTCTCAACGACTTGATTACCTGCATCCTGCTTCAAAGACCTTTTAAGACTTCACTTCAAAGAGAATCCTCTGAACTGTCATTCATGCTTAAATTCGACACTTTACACTCAAATTTGAATAAAGACGCTAATTATCTTACCCATTACAAAGATAGCTTCCCCAATTATCACCTCTAATATCATTAGCTCACAGACATTTACCTCCCCCTCTTCTCCCCCCTCCATCCCCCTTCTGTTCTGAAATTTGATTTGTCCTTTTCATATGTGTTCATTTTTTTTTTATTTGAATCCTTTGGTATATATGGTTGTGATAATTTTCTTCCACTATTTGATCTGAGGAAGTGGGTCTGGCCCACGAAAGTTCATCACCTTATAAGCCATCTTGTTAGTCTTTAAAGTGCTACACAGTCCTGTTTTTTGTTTCAGCTGCACCAGACTAACACGGCTACATTTCTACCACTATTCTATATAAATCAGTCACACTTTCTTCTAAAGTTTACTCTTTTCTCTTCAAGGATGTATGTTAACTGTACTGGCCCAGGATTCAGCCTTCATTCAGATATCGTCATGCCTTACATTGCAAACTATGGCTCTAAAGAGCAGATTGAGCGGTTTATCCCTGAAATGTCTGCAGGCAAATGTATTGGTGCTATAGCCATGACAGAACCGGGGGCTGGCAGGTAAGCAAAAAACGATAGGCTTTATACACAGGTTGTTCACCTAATTTCCCTGTGTAAAAAGTCCAAAGGTGTCAGTTACATGACCACTGTATCGATTAGGCAGTAGCCCGGAATAGGTGGATCCACAAAAATAAGCTTGAATTATGGATTGCTGTTTTACAGCTTTGTCATTTCAAACTTTATCTGTTCCAAACTCATGATCTTGCCATCAGTCCTGGGACAAATAGGAGTTTGTATTTGTTTCAGATTGTGCATAAACAGTCGCTAGCCTACTTGATGCATAGACATTCTTTAATGTGAAATGTAATACCTCATTAAGGGAGGCCTGACTTGCTCTACAGCAAGGGAGCTCATGAGCCGCAGCGGCTCATAACCCTGAAAGTACGGCTCACATAGTCGCCCCATGCGCCCCTATAAATGGCTCCTGGCTCCTTGTGCTCACTGGGTGCAGGGAAGCTGTCCAGCGCGGCAAAATGGTGTCAGCCGGCAGGAGCCTGATGTGGCCAAAAAGCCTAACCCATGGTTTTTAAAGGGGCAGTGTCTTTTTTGTTTTGTTTTTTTTTTTAAATCAGCAATTCTGGTGCGGCTCTTCTCATTTTTTCTGCCGCTGTTTCGGCTCTCTTAGTTTAATGGGTCGGCCACCCCTGCTCTGCAGAATGCTTTCTGAATTCCGTAAGAGGGCCTATTTCCTTGTCCCTGAATTGTGTAAAGCATAGAGTTCTCGTTCCGGTGCTATCATTCATGTAGTCTTAAGTGTAAACAATAGGATTATTGAGTAGAGATTACTGATTCAAGGTCATTCGCTTTTGTCTCTGCTCTGCTGAGCAGAAGGGAGCACGAAGCACAATCGGGGAGCTGCACCTTCTGTGCTGTGTGTCTGTTGGTCTTAGCAATCGCAAAAGCCTATCAGCATGAGAACTGTAAGCTCACCTCTAGCCATATGTGGAGGCTGCCAAGCTGAGCGGCTCAAATCTGGTTTCTGGGGCAGCTCTAAATTGATGGACCATGTTAACATAAGATGCTGCTGAGCTGATAGATGTTATTTGTGCACATGGTACTTCTGCTGTGAACAGATATGTCACTTTGAAAGTGAAACAGTGACGCGCTGCACTGAAGATGCGGAGGTTCGCCATTCGTATCTGTGTGTGTGTGTGTGTGTGTGTGTGTGTGTGTGTATATATATATATATATATAACACTCTTGTTGTTTCCATAGTATTCTCTAGCCCCTTTTTCAGATCTGTGAATCCTATTTTAGTTTTGGACTACAGTTGAGCATAGCACTATCCACGAGGAGTTCTGAGCGCCACACTCCATTATTTTATTCTAGGGATTAATTTTTAAATGTAAACTTCATGCTGCTGTTGGCTTGTTCTCTTAAGTAACTTGCTTTTCTTGCCAATTAATTTTAGTGATTTGCAAGGCATACGGACATACGCAAAAAAGGAAGGAAGTGATTGGATTCTCAATGGAAGTAAGGTATGTGAATGGGTGTGTTCTAACTTATGGTGCTTGGGTACTGAATTCATTCAGTAAGTGAGAGAATTTACTTGATTTTACAGCTGTTTTCACAGCATGTAGTGTTTCTACCCCTTGGTTTTTCCTTTTGTACCAGTTACGTCTTACAGAAGAGTTCACGTTCCCCAGCCATTGGACTTACGCTGACAATTTATGGGTCAATCAGCAGAGCAGACTCTTTCCTTTGCCGCTTTTATTATAGAACGAAAAAGCAGCCCAGTCTTAAGCTTTTGCTCTTTTCCTTGACTGGTTTTAGTCAGTCTGCACAATATAGCCAAGGGCCAGACTGTTTCTTAATTAAGTGGAGTTCGTAGCAGAATAGCCATCCCACGGTTCCCTGTTGGTTGAAGGAAACAAACAGAAGCCTTTACCGCTTCATCACAAAAACTAAATCTTTATTCAATGAGCGTATTGTTCAGTGTATGGGATAAATTCGATATTAGATGCCAACCACATGCCAAGGTGCCATAAGGCTGACTGTGTAGCCATCTCATTTAATCCCTAATATAAACAATTAAGATGGTTGAAGTAGGGGATTGTCATTCTAAAAATTTTTTAAATGATGTTGCTGTTAGTTGAAAACTTATAAAACCAGAAACCTCTTAAGAGTTACAGCTCGGTCCAGGTACTTTGGAATATTGGGGTGGTTGATTTAGTAAAATTTTGTTTTAAAAATGAATGGTAGTTGACCGCATAGTTTAGTAATTAAAAAGGGAGACCCAGGGAGTTGAATTCTGTTCCTGTCTCTTCCACTAAGTCACTTCTTTACTTTTAAGAAAATTATATCATCCTAGGCCTCAGTTTCCCTATTTGTAAAGTGGTGGTGATTATCCTTGCCTGTATGGTAATGCTTTGAAATCTTTGGATGAAAGCACAAAGTAGTAACAGTATTTTGATGTCAGTACATTTCAAAGATTCTTCCTCTGATGTGACTTGCCTGTTATTTTTAGGCATATTTATAGGCTAAATCTGTGTATGTTTGCAGAGCCTAGCAAAGTGGGGCTTTGTCCAGATTGTGGCTTTTGGTCATTGCAATAATAAAATAATAAAACTGTAAGTGTTTATGTGTACTTGTCCATAAGTATGTAAAATATATTTAACTAGATAATCGATTGCATGCCTGAACCTAGGCAAGACAAGGCAGTTCATCCTTTTTCAGTTGGCATGGGAAGACATCTGAGCAATTTTTATACTTGGTATGTCTGTACCCATGTTCTGCCTGTTGTTCTCTATGAGAATTTGACTTTTAAATAGATGATACAATGAAGACAACTGTAAGTTTCTATCCATTTTGGCATGCATCAGTGTTTAATTCAATGATAAATATGGGTCGACAGCATGTTGTACAGAATTATGATTTGCTATAGTAATGAAGACCCTCCCAATAATGAATCTTTATAATAGAGATGAGACTGAATTAAAAATCTGAATTTAAATTCCTCTGAACTCTAGGAATGTTTGGAATAAACAAATACAAATATGGTTCCTTTTCTTAACCTGCCCTCTCTCTTTATAATGGGTCAGAGTAGACCCTAGCACTCTTTAACTTCGGGGTATTCGTAGACCAGATCCGACTTATGCTGCCCGAATCCATCTCTCCTTTATAGCATCTGTTCAGAAGCACGTGTTTTATGCATCTGGACTTTTTAAACCTTTTGGGCACTTACTTACAGCTTTCCTCTCTTGTATACTGTTCATTTGTAGAAATATGTGACAGTTCGTGTACTGCTACTTTGTAGTCTTTCTAGCTACCTGCCAGCTAACATGCAGCTCTAATCCGTCTTGGTTTTCTTCCAGGTATTCATCACTAATGGCTGGATGACTGATTTAGTGATTGTGGTTGCTGTTACAAACCGTGAAGCCCGCTCCCCTGCCCATGGGATCAGCCTTTTTCTGGTGGAGAATGGAATGAAAGGATTCATCAAAGGACGCAAGCTAGACAAAATAGGCCTGAAAGCACAGGTAAGTCATACAAGCCTTACCATATGTGGGACTTTGAGGCAGTCTAAAAGGACTTGCTATTCCCTGGGGTATTCTCAGTAAAGATCAAAGGTCGCTATAGTAATACTTCCCCGTTTATAGTTTTAACTGCCAGAGCAGGATATTCTAAATTAGACTGAAAGGTTGAGTTGCGGTTGAGTGGAATTTATACTGAAAGCAAACAGCCTCCAGTGAATATATGTAATTTGGGCTGTTGAAGTTAAAAATTGGAGAAGAGGAAAATCTGAGGAAGAGAGTGTTTGACCTCACCGGGATTTTATTTAAAACCACTTTTAGGACACAGCAGAGTTGTTTTTTGAAGATGTACGTTTGCCAGCCAGTGCCTTGCTTGGACAAGAGAACAAAGGGTTCTACTATTTGATGAGAGAGCTCCCTCAGGTAAGGCTGACACAAACCCACACTGTGCGCAGGAAAAGCCCAGACTTTATTTTGGTCTTAGCTTGGAATTGACACCTACAGTTTATGGATTATGCTGAGACTCCTCAGTCTCAGCGATAGGATGCTTACAGCTGCTGTCTGCTGATACTTGATTTATTTTTTTGTGGTAGGAATTGTGCACTGCAAATCGAAATGAAGCATCTTGGAGTGTCAGTGAAATCGCTTGCATACTAATAGTTTCTATTCACATAATGTTGTTATCTACAATATGAGAATTTGTTTGCTTGTGAGCAAGCGAATGAGTCTGTCTGTGAGTCTGTTTATTCAAGAACTCCTCACAAACAGTAAGAACTAGAACCACCAAATTCAGCAGGCAGCTTCCTCTTCTCATAACTTAAAGCAAGGTCAGGGTTCAGTCCTCCAGGGCATGGCAGAAGAGGCTAAAGCCCCTTTTCCGATTCATATAGAAAAGAATTCTGCCTAGAGGTAAGAGCTAGGACCACCAAATCCAGTGTGTAGCTTCCTCTTACCATAATGTAAAGCAAGGTAAGCAGGGGCGGCCCGTGAGCCTAGGCAAACTAGGTAGTTGCCTAGGGCGCTGCCGGCCCGGGCACCGCGTGATTACGTCATGGCCATTTACAGCTGTGCAGGCGGGGGCGCCGATCACACCTTCCACCTAGGCGCCAGCTGCCGCAGCCGGCCTTAGGCCGCTCCTGAAGGTAAGGTTGTGTGGAGGAAGAGCGAAATGGGATGGGTGCAGGAGGGGGTGAGGGCTTTGGCTGGGGAGGAGACGTTTGGGTGCAGGAGGGAGCTCCAGGCTGGGTCCAAGGGTTTGGAGTGCAGGAAGGGGCTCAGGACAAGGTCTGGGTGGGAGTGATGACCAGCCAGCACTGTTCCCGTATGAACATGTGTTCTAAGCCGTGCAGAACAGAGACAGAATCATCAGGCAGGTGAACAGGTCTGGCTGGGGGCATGCTCCCTCCGACTCCAGCTAGATCTGCCCCAGGCTTCTACTCTCCAGGCACCCTTTAGGGAGGGTGGGGGGCTGCAGTTCCCCTGACTCCCCCCATTCATAGGGGAACTGGTCATCACTACCTCCCAGACCTTGTCCTGAAACCCTTCCTGCACTCCAAACTCTTGGCCCCACCCTGGAGCTCCCTCCTGCACCCAAACATCTCCCCAGCCAGAGCCCTCACCCCCTCCTGCACCCATCCCATGCCTCAGCTGCAGCCCCTTCAGGCACTCTGAACCCCTTACTTGCCCCACTCTGGAGCCTGGGGGGTGCCCACAATCTTAATAGTCTCAAGCCTCCAGAAAAATGAATATAGCCCTGAGTATAGGTAGGTTGAGTGAAGAGGGTTTTTTGTTTTGTTTCTTTGGGGGGGCTTGTGTGTGGCCCCGGACGGATTTTTCTGTGGGTCAGTGGCCCCTGATAGAAAAAAGGTTCCCCACCCCTGGAATACATGTATCAAGTTTTCAAACCTGATTTCAAGACCAGATTTCTCTATCAATAGCACTGGTGTGAAGAACATAAGATTAGAACAGGTTGTTTTTTTTTTTTTAAATAAAATGCAACAAACAACTGTGGTATCATCTCAACACTTGTTCACTCAGCTCAATAGTTGTAAATACTCTCTTTTTGCCCTTTATAAGCCTCTTGGTGCAGCGTTGACTCTTTTTCTTCTAAAGATTAATGCAAATGCACCTGCAGCTCTTCTGCCAGTGGAATATCATAGAAGAACTTTTCTTTATGCACCCTCTCCACGCCACTCATGCTTTTCATAGAATCATAGAATAATAGGACTGGAAGGGACCTCAAGAGGTCATCGAGTCCAGCCCCCCGCCCTCAAGGCAGGATCAAGCTCTGTCTACACCATCCCTGACAGATGTCTATCTAACCTGTTCTTAAATATCTCCAGAGAGGGAGATTCCACCACCTCCCTTGGCAATTTATTCCAATATTTGACCACCCTGACAGTTAGGAATTTTTTCCTAATGTCCAATCTAAACCTCCCCTGCTGCACTTTAAGCCCATTACTCCTTGTCCTGTCCTCAGAAACCAAGAGGAACAAATTTTCTCCTTCCTCCTTGTGACACCCTTTTAGATATTTGAAAACCGCTATCATGTCCCCCCTTAATCTTCTTTTTTCCAAACTAAACAAGCCCAGTTCATGAAGCCTGGCTTCATAGGTCATGTTCTCTAAACCTTTAATCATTCTTGTTGCTCTTCTCTGTACCCTTTCCAATTTCTCCACATCTTTCTTGAAATGTGGCGCCCAGAACTGGACACAGTACTCCAGCTGAGGCCTAACTAGTGCAGAGTAGAGCGGCAGAATGACTTCACGAGTTTTGCTTACAACACACCTGTTGATACAACCTAGAATCATATTTGCTTTTTTTGCAACAGCATCACACTGTTGACTCATATTCAACTTGTGGTCCACTATGACCCCTAGATCCCTTTCTGCCATGCTCCTTCCTAGACAGTCGCTTCCCATCTTGTATGTATGGAACTGATTGTTCCTTCCTAAGTGGAGCACTTTGCATTTCTCTTTATTAAACCTCATCCTGTTTACCTCTGACCATTTCTCTAACTTGCTAAGGTCATTTTGAATTATGTCCCTATCCTCCAAAGAAGTTGCAACCCCACCCAGTTTGGTATCATCTGCAAACTTAATAAGCGTACTCTCTATCCCAATATCTACATCATTGATGAAGATGTTGAACAGTATGGGTCCCAAAACAGACCCTTGAGGAACTCCACTTGTTATCCCTTTCCAGCAGGATTTAGAACCGTTAACAACAACTCTCTGACTACGGTTATCCAGCCAATTATGCACCCACCTTATCGTGGCCCTATCTAAGTTATATTTGCCTAGTTTATCAATAAGAATATCATGCGAGACCGTATCAAATGCCTTACTAAAGTCTAGGTATATGACATCCACCGCTTCTCCCTTATCCACAAGGCTCGTTATCTTATCAAAGAAAGCTATCAGATTAGTTTGGCATGACTTGTTCTTCACAAACCCATGCTGGCTATTCCCTATCACTTTATTACCTTCCAAGTGTTTGCATATGATTTCCTTAATTACCTGCTCCATTATCTTCCCTGGGACAGACGTTAAACTGACCGGTCTGTAGTTTCCTGGGTTGTTCTTATTCCCCTTTTTATAGATGGGCACAATATTTGCCCTTTTCCAGTCTTCTGGAATCTCCCCTGTCTGCCATGATTTTTCAAAGATCATAGCTAAAGGCTCAGATACCTCCTCTATCAGCTCCTTGAGTATCCTGGGATGCATTTCATCAGGACCTGGTGACTTGCTGACATCTAACTTTCCTAAGTGATTTTTAACTTGTTCTTTGTGTATCCTATCTTCTAAACTTACCCTCTCTCTGCTTGTATTCACTACGTTAGGCACACCTCCAGACTTCTCGGTGAAGACCGAAACAAAGAAGTCATTGAGCATCTCCGCCATTTCCAAGTTCCCTGTTACTGCTTCTCCCTCCTCGCTAAGCAGTGGGCCTACCCTGTCCTTGGTCTTCCTCTTGCTTTTAATGTATTTATAAAAGGTCTTCTTGTTTCCCTTTATGCCTGTAGCTAGTTTGATCTCATTTTGTGCCTTTGCCTTTCTAATCTTGCCCCTGCATTCCCGTGTTGCTTGCCTATATTCATCCTTTGTTATTTGTCCTAGTTTCCATTTTTTATGAGACTCCTTTTTTATTTTGAGATTGTGCAAGATCTCCTTGTTAAGCCAAGCTGGTCTTTTGCCATATTTTCTATCTTTCCTACACAGCGGAATTGTTTGCTTTTGGGCCCTTAACAACGTCCCTTTGAAATACTTCCAACTCTCCTCAGTTGTTTTTCCCTTCAGTCTTGCTTCCCATGGGACCTTACCTACAAGTTCTCTGAGCTTATCAAAATCTGCCTTCCTGAAATCCATAACCTCAATTGTGGTGGTCTCCCTTCTACCTTTCCTTAAGATCATGAACTCTATTATTTCGTGGTCACTGTCCCCTATACTGTCTTCCACTTTCAAGTTCTCAACTAGTTCCTCCCTATTTGTTAAAACCAAATCCAGAACAGCTTCTCCTCTGGTAGCTTTTTCAACCTTCTGAAACAGAAAGTTGTCTCCAATGCAGTCCAGAAACTTATTGGATAGCCTGTGCCTCGCTGTGTTAGTTTCCCAACATATGTCTGGATAGTTGAAGTCCCCCATCACCACCAAATCTTGGGCTTTGGATAGTTTTGTTAATTGTTTAAAAAAGGCCTCATCCACCTCTTCCACCTGGCTAGGTGGCCTGTAGTAGACTCCTAGCATGATATCACCCTCATTTTTTACCCCTTTTAGCTTAACCCAGAGACTCTCTACACAGCTATCTCCTACGTTCATCTCCACTTCAGTCCAAGTGTGTACATTATATTATAGACAGACTTCGTTCTCAAACTATTTCATAAGAAAATTGAAAAGTAGAAGCATTTTGTAGAACCCAGAATGAGTCATTATTAGTAGAACTGAACATAGTTGATTAGTTAATGCATGTTTGGAAGAGCAAAGGAAACTTAAGATACCAAAATCATGACTCTGCTTTTTCATAAAGCAAAACCTATGGCTTTGTAGTTGCATCATCTAACAGAAATGAGGTTTACTTAATTTTACACTGTCAAATATGAGACCTACTGTTTCACTGTACAAATTCCATACAGTATTTAGCTCTTTCAAAGAAAATATTTCAGTGGTTTGAAAAAAAAAATGCTCATAAATATGCCTACAATAATGAACCAGATTATTTAAGATAAAAACAATTCCTTAGGACATGGATTTTAGTTTAAATGTTTTCATAGTTTATGAGCATGGGAAGAAAATTATAAACTTGTCAATGTATTTAGACAATGTCCTTCAAAAACTTGTTTAAATTACTCTTTCATTTGAACTGAAAGATTAAAACTAAACTACTGACAAATTTGAGCCAAACTGTTTCCATTGAGTCAGTAGGGGTATTACATTTCACTTTCAGATTTTTTTCCTTTTCTGTAGACTTGCTTATGCAACTTTGGAATGTCACTAAGAACTTTTAAAATCAGGACCCACAAAGACAGTTGTGTCCATTACAGTGACAATATTTTCAATTATGCAGCATTGTTAAAATGTTAATGGAACAGATAAAAACAAACAAACAAACAAAACAGACATAACTAAACTTTTGTTTCCCAAGCTCTGTGTGTGTGTGGGGGGGAAGGGAGAGGTGGAACTCTCAGATTCTTTATCACTTCTGTCTCTCAAAGGAAAGGCTGTTGATTGCTGATATGGCACTTGCAAGCTGTGAATTCATGTTTGAAGAAACAAGGAATTATGTTAAACAAAGAAAAGCCTTTGGGAAAACAATTGCACATTTACAGGTAAGCTTAAACCAAGAAAAACAGACAAATCCTTTTGTGTCTACCTGCATCTTTCTCCATTACAGATGCATGTAATATGTAACTTTCATTTCAGCAGAGGTGTTAGGTGACCACTGGCCTGTTTTCAGAGGTTCAGAAGTTGGAGTAGGAACAATGACTCTGCTTTCTCTCCCGCGTTCAGTTTTAATTAAACATGACTAAGTACTCTTACGATACCATTGCTGCGGCTGCTTTTAGATTTGTAGTTAACAATGCATTGCTGACTTGGTATATGACTATATAGTGAAAATAGTTTTATTTATAAAGTTGTAGTTTACATTCTGAGGCTCTGACCCTACAATGCATTGTTTTGGATGGACTTCTGCCTCCAAACTGAGTCCTGTTGGCTTGGGTGAACTTCCAGACATGATGGTCTACCAGTGCATTGCAGAGTTTCAGTGCCTACCCGAGATTGATACTGCACAAGTTTTTCACAGCAGGGACCTTGTCTAATGACTGTGACGTGTTAAACAAAAAAATTGCTTTATGTTGTTGTCAGTTTTATGTATATTCCTCAGCTGTGAAGGAACTAAATGCGTAAGACTCCACATAAGAAGTTATAGATTGTCCACAGTACATATTATCCTTCTGCCATTAATGAGATTTAGATGAGAGTTTGGGGTCTATGGCAAGTCCTTGTTCAGAATCATGAAAACATTCTGCTTCTCACAGTAGCTTTCTTTAACCAGGATAACTTTTGCTAACCAGATAGTAATACAGACTCTGGGATTCTTCATGCTATTTTTTTTTCTTAATGCAAGACTGATCTTATGCGTTTCAATGTAAACATTAGGTAGGGGGCTATTCTGAAAACAGAATGTTAAACATTTTAAAACATGTTAAGCATTTTTATGTTCCAACATTTCGTGTTACATAGAAACTGAATGAATTATATAGGTTGGAGGATGGTAGACTTTTTATTACTTGAAATGTGTCCTTGAGATCACAGTATAAATGGCAAGATTCCCAGGCAAGATTCCCAGTTTTGATCCTTTTCCTGTTATGTCAAAGGCAGACCTCCCTTTGAATTCACCAGGAGCAGGAGCAGACCTTTAGACACAAGATGTCTTAAGTATCTATTCATAAAATTTCCAGGTCTGATTTAGCATTTCTAGTTTCTGTACTTAGCACTATGAAAATAACTCTTTCAAAAACTATAGCTAGCTTTAAAGCAGGATAACTACTGTCCAATACACTTTATTTTTAAAGGTATGTTATCGAAACATTATCCATTGTTTGCATCTCTGTTTCCTTTTATTGCTGATTGCTAAAATATGTGTACAGTTCAAAAGCTGCCTGCTGTCTTGCCTAATTTATTTATTACAAGGTTTGAAATCAGCCTTCTATTTTTTTCTGTAGCTTGGATGAAGGGAAGGATGAAGCCCACTGATAGAGTAGTTTAAGAACTTGAGAAAAGACTTGTAGGCTTGTCTTTTTCATTCCCTCTGCCAGCATAAAGGCCTACTACCACATTGTTGAGTTCTTGCACAGACTAGCTTTATATAATGCTACAAGTGGATTTCTTCTTTTTTTCCACGGTATAACAGATTTCAGTGCTAGGAAACTTCCCCTGACAGCCAGTCTTGTTCAGTAGTATCTTTACTACTCATATCTCTTTGCACCTCTCTTCTCCCTCTGTGCCTGAATTGTAATTATTCTTTAATAAAAGAAAATGGAGAAATACTTTTTTAATTGATATTATTCCTTTAAAATAATTTTTGCATTTAAGAAAATAGAATTGGTACTTTATAGAACTGCCAATAAACTAGGGAAATTACTTTATGCAGTATAGTTGTACTTCTATCAATTCCAGAATATTAGAGTGACAAGGTGGGTGAAGAAGTTGGTCCAATAAAAGATTACCACCTCACCCACCTTGTCTTTCTAGGGCAGTGTTTCCCAATTTCATTTGGCAACGCAACCCTTTTAAACTTGAAAGAATTTTGCGGAACCCCTAATAACAGTCTAATATATGGAGCTGGAAAAGTAAACCACAAATAAGTTAGGATGATGATAAACAAATGCTAAACAGGGTCATGAGATCAACATTTAGTTTAATTGCACAAATTTAAAAATAAAAATCACATAATTTTTTAAAATAATAAAATATTATTGTAATGGAATTTTCTCATGGAACCCTTATTTTCACTTCGCCGAACCCCAGAGTTCTGCGGAACATCATTTGAGGGAAACTGTTCTAGGGAAATTACTATCTGTTTGGAGTAGAAACACATTTTTAACAGAAGGGGGAGCTCAGGTTGCTAAAACTTTCAGTAAAGGGCCAAGGGCCAATAGATTATACTATTGTACTTGGCAATCTATGAACTCAAAACATCTCGTTTGTTTATTTTTAAAGAAGAAAACATATTCTTCTGGGGGGTTTAAGCTCAGTGGTTTAAGCATTGGCCTGGGTTGTGAGTTCAATCCTTGCAGAGGCCATTTAGGGATTTGGGGCAAAATGTGTTAGGGATGGTACTTGGTCCTGCTGTGAAGGCAGGGGACTGGACTCAATGACCTTTCAAGGTCCCTTCCAGTTCTAGGAGATAGGCAATCTCTATTAATTTAATTTATATGTCTTTGTGAGTCACAGACCAAAATCTATAGCTTTTCTTTAATTCAGAAGTCCCTTGACTCTAAGCATATCCTATTTGATTAGACTGGCAGAAATGTGAGTCCATTAAAATAAATGGAAATTAAGCTGCTTTTTGTTTTATAGAATTCCAGCTGTTGTATTGGCGTATCATCTTTGCTGCAGTGATGTTTCCTTTGTGTACATCATTTCTTGTTTGTTTGGTTTTTTTTAAAGCATTTTCTTGTAAATACCTTATTGGCATCTTTTCCTTCACTGGTTTGTTTTAAAATATTTCCTAATTTTTAAACACAAAACATTTTTTTCCTCCCAACAAAAATCAGACTGTGCAACACAAGTTAGCAGAACTGAAAACTCAGATTTGCGTGGGCAGGACATTTTTGGACAGCTGTCTACAGCTGCACCAGGAGAAATGTCTGGACTCCTCCACAGCTTCCATGGCAAAATACTGGTATGCATGTTAAAACAATTTAAAAATGTTACTTTTTTGAACTTTTCTGGGCTCTATCATTATAAAATGGAGGCAACCAACCCAAATTTTTAGCCCCAAAGTTAACATTACATTTGACTAAATCTTTGTTGGCATTTAACATCAGAAATTATTTGCCTAAACTTATAGTGATGTATGTGGTATAAATCACAGAGATGTACACTGAACATTGGTAAATCAAATAATTTCAAAATTAGTTACTTAATGTTGGCTTTGAGGATAAAATGTTTCTTAAGCAATGCGATCCAAATTTAACTTTAATAGTTTCACCTGAGAATTATTTTACTGATTTTTTTTAAATAATCGTATAGCTGAAAAAGTTTAAAAATCAGAGCTTGATCTTACTGAGATTCCCTTGCATCATATTTACAAATTATGAAACTATTTTTGGATGTAATATTTGATAAATCTTGACATAAGTAGGTATTAGACTTAGTTCTCAGAAAATGGCTATCTGGTTTCAGGAAAGAATAATTAGCTACCTCTTTATTGCTGGTGCTGAGATTGAGCTGTTTTTCCTTTCCATTTTATTATTGGACAGAAAAAGCCCCAGGAAATTTTTTGCAGTTATGTATTAACTTATGTTTATCCAGACAAAGTTAGACAAGTGGAAACATTTAAGATCCTGGTGCCAGATTAAGTTATCTGTAAAAATGGGAAAAAATGAAGACGAGAAAGTGACAGAATATTTTGTCAAAAATGTACAAGTTTTAATCCTTTCAAACATTATGCATAAAATGCCAAGGGAATTCAGATAACATTTACATTAAAAGAAAGGATTGATTGTTTCTTGGCATAGGCTACATCAAAATAACTAGTACAGAAGAAGAGGCATTCAGCTTTGTGGAGAAGTCTATAACTAATGCCAGCCTAATTAATACACACGTCCATCCATGGATTTTCCAAAGCACAAAACTTGCAAAATCACCAAAATTCTTATATCTACCATATGTAGCACCCTTGTCCATATAGATAACTAGTAGCAGATGTAGGCTGCAGCCTAACAGGGGGAGGGGAGCAGTCCCTGGCCTGCTCCGGGGGGGCCTTGCTTGGGGCAGTGACCACCCTGTCCTGCAGCCTGTTGTGGGGGCAGTGCTCTGTGGGCTGGCCCCTCCACAGCCTGCAGGCTGCCTGGAGCGGGGGTGAGGCTCTGCGGGCTGCCCCCTTCTCCAACCTCTCTGCTGCTCCCTACTGCCTGCAGGCTGTCTGGGGAGGGACCAGGCTCTGGAAGCTGTCCCTCCTCCAGCTGCCTCCCTGCAGGCTGTCTTGGAGAGTAGGTAAGTCTTGGGGCTGCCCCTGACCTGCAGCGCACCTCCCCTCACCCCCACAGTTTGCAGGCTGTCTGGGGAAAGCCAGGCTCTGAGGGTCCCCACACTCCCCAGCTGCCCTCCCTCCAACAGCCCTTCCTGCGGCCTGCAGGCTCCCCCGGGCAGGGTGGGGCGGAAGGACTGGCTCCGGGTTTAGGGCAAGGAAGCTTCTCACCTGGTCTGGCGGTAGGCATTATGACAGAGTCCCAGCCCTGCTGGCTACTCTTTGTGTTTCTGCTGCGCCCTGTGACCACGCTGAGTATCGCGTTCCTCTTTTCTGTGCTTCTCCCTCTTCCCCCTCCCTTTCCATGTTGTCTGAAACAGGCCCATTCCCAGCACGACTAAACCTCGACTTTGGTTTAAGTTCAGGTGAGAGGAAGCTCCATACCAAATGTGGTGGTCCTAGCTCTTACAGTTTAGGAGGAGTTCTTGATCAGACGGACAAACAGATGGGCAGACGCACACATATAGAAGATAGATGGCATTTTTGTAATTTTTCCACAAAGCTTAAATAGGTTTAAAAATTGCTTGAATAGAGAAATTGCTTCTTTCTCTTGCACCAGTATGCTGCACTTCATTTGACTATACAGTAGTTCATGTCCTTACTTCCTTTCTTAAGATTTAACCAAAATGACTATTGTTGAGGTAATGTTTCTTTAAATAAAGTTTAAAAAAAGCATTATGCATCTTTACAGCTGTTGAAGTTTCTGTGTTTTATTGTGATGATATATTTACAGTATTTAAATCTGAAAATCTATTTTGAGTGGATAGTTTAATCAGGATATTTTAGGGTTAAACGTGGTATATAATTGAAGGAAACTGCAATGGAGCAAGCTTGAGGAGAGAATTTCATGAACTCTTACAGAAAAAGGAAATTGATTTGACTAATTATTTTTCATATTTCTTTTGCTATTGTTGAACTTACTTGTTTGAACAGTATTTTTTCAATGGCCTAGCTGTTACTTTTTGCTTGATCCCAAAGTGCAGTCAAAATCCTGTGGGGTTTTATAAAATTTGTATTTGAGTTTTTGATATAACTGCAAGCATGCAGTGTTTCGAAAGAGAAAATGCAGGAAACGAATTATAAATCCCATGCTGTCTTGGATAAGGAAGTATACTAGATTCTGCTGGTAAAGTCCACAGAAATTAATATCCAGACAGTTAACAGTGGAGAGGGGGAAAATACTGGAGCATTGATTAGCTAGCCATATTAAAGTGCAATGTTGAGATTCTTACCATTGAAAGAGGCATCATCTGATATTATTGGTGTACAGACAGTATCCCAGTGTGTTGGCAAAGGGAAAAAAGCTGTGAACAAGTAACATGACTTCACTGAAGTATCTGACGGAAGAATACCCACTGTTTTAAAAATAAATCTTTGATAATTGGCATATACAACATGAAAGCAAAAAGTAAACAATCATGTCTATATTTGAAAACCCTCCTCTTAAAATTTCTGAAAGAAAAGCCAAATTGTTGAATGTTAAAGTTAAAACATTTGTCAGTTATTGCTTCTTTCTCATCCTCTTTATAAAAAAGTCCAAACTTCATCACAGTTCATCATGGTAATTCCTGACATAGTAGGGGTATGGATATTATATGTAGAGCCCTACACAGATTAAAAAAATTGTACTTGCAAAAATGAGCTGTGGATATCTGCATCCACATGTGCATATATAAAGCTGATCTCTGTGGATTTTCAGGGCTCTAATTATATGTAAAACAAGTCTGATAGTTAAATGTTTATTTTACATACTAAATCTATAAAGTAGTGTAGCATACATGCTTCAAAACCAACCTTCTGTTTTTGCTATTCTTATCATTTTAGGGCTTCTGATCTCCAAAACAGCGTGGCTACTCAGTGTGTACAACTCCATGGAGGATGGGGGTACATGTGGGAGTATCCAATTGCAAAGTAAGTGTAACACTTCAGTCCTGAATGATAAAAGATTAAGGTCAAATTAAAAGGTGATATTTTCTTCACAATTATTTGTAAACTGGAAGGGAAATGACTCTCTACTAACACAAAGCAGTTTACAGATATACATAAAGAAGATATCTTGGTGTAGTTGGTTTTACTGTTTCCTCTGTATAATCAGGTAGGCAGCTTTTCCTCTTGTTTGTCTCTCTCTCAGCAAAAAAATTAAGTGAATCATTTAAAAAAAAGTCTTATAGCAAAACCATCTGAAAAATTGCAGGACTTTAGGGCAGATGAATTGTCAAATTGCTTCTAACTCACATTTTTAAAATTAAGCCTGGGTTTCTGTTTAACAGCAGGTGACATTGGTGCCTCTTTAAAGTAACTTTTTTCTTTTAGGGTACATCTACACAGCATGCTAATTTCGAAATAAGCTATTTCAGAAATAGCTTATTTCGAAATAACATGTCTACACTACAGGGAAGCCTCAAAATTAGTCCAAGGCAGGTTTCCCTAATGTGGATGTGCTACCTCGAATTAGAGCCCCAGGAGGCACTGGGGAGCAATTACTTTGAATGGCCCTGGGGAGGAGCTATTTCGAAATAGCAGCAGTGGAGCGTCCACACTACGACTATTCTGACATCACTATTTCAGAATAAGCGTTATTCCTCACGGAAAGAGGTTTACAGATTTTGAAATAATTTCAAAATAACGGATGGCTTAATTCGAAATAACAGAATTGCTGTGCAGACGCTTTCGTTGTTCCAAAATAATGACTGTTATTCCGAAATAATGCTGCTATGTAGATGCACCTTTCATTATTGTGCAAAGTAGCCATCCATTGTGAGTAAATAGCCACTCTAGAGTTCACTGAACTCCGCTTTAGTATCTGCATATCTAACAACCCAGTGCAAGTTTGTAGGGCCCCTGTTATGTACTGGGGGTAGCTGCCTCGCAAGGTGTTTGTTTGAGTTTTTAAATGTTGTGGAGCTGTGGGAGTCTTACATTTTCTTGAATAATGAATTTTAGAGTGACTTTTTAGGGAGAGTTGCGGTTGTGATTCCATGCTTATTGCTTCACAGAGTGAAATTAGCAAGGGATTCTTATCTGTTTCCCTAGGCTGCTGCCCGGGTACAGTATGTTCAGAAGCACTATTCACTCCCCACACTCCCCCTGGGAGTGTGAGGAAAAGGGAACTGGATGACTTGGGGATCATATTGGGTTCAGACACCAGTTGAAATGAAGCATAGTGCTTAAATCTTTAACCAGCTGTGTGAAATGAATTGGTAGTTTCAGACCATTTCCGGGGGCACAAATACTCACCTTTCAGAAAGACTCCACAGCACAAGAAGAAGCCCAGTCAGCAAGGAATGAGTGTGGCTATCTTGGAATTACTGTCTTGGATCTAGAGGTGCTCTCTTTCTCAGGGCAAACACACATACTAGTAAGGCAGTGTGGGTGAGCTTACAATGCATATGTGGTATATGCATTGTGGGCAAATGGAGGGTTTCAGTCCTCGGAGATGTTAAATCAAGCTCTAAATTAGCTTTAATTGGGAATAGGAGGATATAATAAAAGACTTGAGAAAGGGAGAGCAAACACCAGGATGTATTGTTTTGCAGACTGTAAGAAGATGTTGTTTTGAATATAAAAAAGGAAAGAGGCACAGAAAAATAATAATAAAAAAAAAAAGTTGCAAGGTAGCCGATGGAAAAGAAACACAGAAAAAAATACAGGCAGTCCCCGGGTTACATGGATCCAACTTACATCGGATCCCTACTTACAAACGGGGTGAGGCAACCCCGCACTAGGACTGAGGGAAGTGAGGTGTGGGAGAATAAAACTGAGCTCTGGAGAAATGTTTGGCTAGAGCTTCCCCTACAATATGTACCAGTTCCGACTTACATACAAATTCGACTTAAGAACAAACCTACAGTCCCTATCTTGTACGTAACCTGGGGACTGCCTGTACAGGGAAAAATTTGAACCCAAATGACCAGTTGGGACAGTTCCCCCGAGATTTATATGGTTTCAAATGTAAACATGTTCCTACCCTTTGAGACTTGGCATAGGCAAGCAGCAAACGTTACTTGGGACTTATAAATCAAAATAAGGTATGTTATGCACCAGGAGATTGCAAGATAGCAGGAGATAACTTTTGTGTCAGACATATTTCCAAAATTAATGCTGTGTGTTCCAGAGTTTCTCTGCCTCCTGGACTAACTGCAAATAAAGTGGATTAAATCCATAGGAGATGTGCGGGGGGAGGGGAGAGAGCGAAGCACCTGAACCCTAGCAGAAGTTGAGGGGGGCCCACAGTTGCATAGGGACCCATAATTTGTAACCAGCACGGGAACCTTACCTGTGGACAGTAGCAGACAACATTCAGAGCCCCTCCCCCACTCCCTTACTGGGGCAGCTGCCCTCCTATGGTCACTCTGCAGTATGGCTGTCCCCTGCCTTTGCTGCCCCCAGTAGTCGCTCAGCAGTACAGCTGTCCTCTGATCAGCCCCCTCCCTTTCCATGTTATGGAAAACAGTCCCATTCTAAGCACTTTTCATTGTCTTGCCACAACCAAACCCTGATCTTACTTTAAGATAAGAGGAAGCTGCATACCAAATTTGGTGGTCCTAGCTCTTATTTAAGAGGAGTTCTCGAACAAATGGACTCAGACGGACAGATGTACGTGTCTAAAATAGATAGAGACAGACAGGAGAGGAGTTCTCGAACAAATGGACTCAGACAGATGGACAGATGTATGTGTCTAAAATAGAGACAGACAGGAGGATTTACCCGGTATTGCTTGGGTCCTTAACTCAAATAATTTTTTTTCTTCATTTAAATCATTGTTCTGGGATAGGTCTGGGAATGAGGGGTTCAGTGTGCAGACTGACCTGGGGGGAGAGGCAACCCCAGTTCTCTCTGACTGCAGCAACCTGGGGCCAGAGCAACCCCAGTTCTCTCTGACTGCAGCAGCCTGGGGCCAGGTGAAAAGTGCCTGTCCATGGCTGCTGCAGAGGGCCCAGCTGGGGGATAGACAGACACACTGACAAACTCTCTTAATTATGTAGTATATTTGATAACCAGATGTCATTGTCAAATGATCACAACCTGAGCAACTCAGGATAATGCCCATTATGATTTCCCTATTGCTCCCCCCTCCCCAAATAAAATATCCTGAAAGAGGCATCTGAGTTCTTACTACAGACAGATCATACTTGAATTATGCTGGATCTTTAAAGAGAGATTTTTCCCATTTCATCCTTGTGGCACATATGGTGGGGTTTTTTTAAGTACCTCTTTAAACCACTCAATCTTTCATTCTCTCTCTCTTTTTCAGAGCTTTTGTGGATTCTCGTGTCCAGCCAATCTATGGTGGAACTAATGAAATAATGAAAGAGCTTATTGCTAGAGATATTGTGACTGACAAGTAGACATCTGGCTACACTGAAGACTGTCACAAATAATATGATATTAAATCAGTCATCAGAATGCAAGTAGAAGAAAGATGTAATGTGTTTTACTGTGGGAAAGGAAACATGGTTTGTACCTGTGGTGTCTAATGTTAAATGAAGATTATTAATTTGTAATGCTTTCTTTCCTGTTGGGAAACATTTGGATTGTACTCTGGACAAATTCACAAAAGTTTTAGAGGTAAGAAGATCTGTTTATATGTAATGGTAGTGAAAAGCTATGAGCACCGTGGAATGTTACAATTAACTTGAAATCTTTGAAACAATGTCATATGAAATCCAGTCCTAACTGGTCAGAATTAAAGACAATCAAATTGTCAAAGAATCCACTTTCTTCCTAGAAAGTAAACAGCTGGGGTGTTTTTAAAAAAAAAAAAAAAAAAAAAAAAACACCAAAACTACATTTTTGGACCTACAGTGTTAAATGTAACTGTAGAACTTGGATGTATCATGAACTCAGTGCCACCTCTGTTTAATAATTTATCTGTGAGAGAATGTAATTGATTTTCCTCTGATGATTACTAGAGTTTATGCATTCATGAATGATAAGAACAAATGGATAAGTGCCTTTTTATTTTTGATCTTCATAATGAATTACAAAAATATAATAAGCTTTACAATGAAATGCAATTTGCCTTATTGCAATATGTTCTTACTTTGTATAAATAAGCTTAATAAAAACATTAATTACAAAATAGCAATTTTCTGCATTACTTGAAAAATCAGAAATCAAATACTATCAAGTAACTATTTGGAAGAGCATGTGCATCCATATTTTGGTTTGTAAGAAACTGCACATTTTAGTTCAGAGTAACACATCTTCGATGTTAATCTGCAGGAACACCTCTATAAAAGGCTGGTTGGCCAATTCTTAGTAAATGTGCAATCATTGGCTGGAGGTTTAGTATCTGGGGTTGCATCTGCACTGCACCCTTAGCTCGAAATAAGCTGTGCAATTTGAGCAATGCAAATTGTGTAGCTTATTTCAAGTCCATTTCAAAATAGGTTATTTAAAAATTTGGCACTGTCTACACAGTGACAAATTTCAAAATAGAGCGCTATTCTGAAACATCCCTTAATCCTTGTGGAATGAGGTTTACAGGGACATTGGCATAGCGAGCCCATTATATTTTGAAATAACGGGCTTGCTTAAAAGACATGGAATAGCTATTTCAGGATACCAGAAGCATCTCAAAATAGTGCCACTGTCTAGACATACCCTGAGTATGCTGCTAATAAAAGTTTTTACTGCTTTTAATATTTGCTTTGAATTAGCCTAATTACACAACTAGAATTGTGGTTTTTTGCTAAGCCAAATGTGTAATTAGTGATTTGACTACCACGCACTTGCAAATCTGTTGTCTTTTAGAAGTAAGTTGTTAGCTGTCACACTATAATGCTAAGTTTATGGTTTAAAGAGACATTGCCCAAGTGATATCCTTCCTGGGAAAGAGACATTGCCCAAGTGATATCCTTGTAGTTTCAGCAGAGAAGCCCAGAACTGAGTGGAGACTGATCAACCCACTTATTTTAGAGGTGTATTTATATCAGGATTGAAAAGCTTTGGAGCAGTAAAAAAAAAAAAGTTCGATGCTTCTGCTGGTGCTAACATTGTTTGGATGAACAGATACCAGTCTGTATGCCTGTCACAATCATTAAATTAAGTTCTACAAGTGCTAAATTCATCCAAAACTATAAAGGCGTTGGACTAAAGACTTGTCCAAATGGATACACGTGTACCTTATTCTTCTCCTCTTGTGCAGTGTATGTTTGCCTTTGCAATGGGGGCATATTGGAAGTTTATAAGGCTGCATCCGTGCCTATCTAGATGAATGTAGGAGTCCTTAGCTGAGTTTGCACTTGCTCGCTAATGTTTTGCACTAGTTCTAGCACGGTGCTGGGCTGCATTTCTGGGCTGCTGCTTCGCTCCCGCCTCCCAGGAGTGGAGAAACACAGCTGGCAAATTCTTACGGGCGGGGCTGGGAGAGGGTAGGAATGAAGCGGGCCTCTAGGGCACGCCAGTCCCCCCCCCTTTTGCATAACTCCGCCCACCGCGGTCGCGGATTGGCCAGCTCTCCCGAGGCCTCGGCC